AGGCAGCATCAAAGATAATTCATAGCAATAACGATAGCTTTATGATGTGTTAATGGTGGTGCTCACAGAAATCTATGCGCTTGCCAGACTCAGATTCATCGAGCATATGGACACTACAGCGGGGGTCTATTCGATCATTGAGTCAGTCCTGAATATCGTGGGCCCTTACATTTCAGCCAGTCCACTTCTGTTGTACGAAGACAGCACTTGCATTTGGCTCAAGTGCATGTTCCAGGCGGGCGTGCTGGGGACGTGGGTACCCAGACTTGTTACCAAGCTGTAAGCTATGCTATGAATTTATAGCACCTCAGCTACTCTCTGTGGTACCTGCACACATGCACAACCTTACCCCATGATAAAAGCAAGATAGGTTCATTGAAGAGGAAGCTACCCCACATTGACCACAGGGTAAGAGTGTGCGCACGGGCTGTCACCGCAAAACAACTGACACCGTTCATTTGTACCCAAGCTTATCTCATGGTAACTTGTGTGTGCCTCTGTCTAGATTGGCAGACATGAAGAGATGGAAAAAACGAATACTTTCCTTGGTGACTTGTGCAAATGGTAAATCACTCTCAGTGTTAAAAAAAAATATACGTGCTTTGATTCTAATTTCAGTTCGTTTGGCTTTACCTTCCAGTCTCTGACTCTCGCTATATCCTTCTCCACTGAATTAGAGAGCCCATTTTGAGTTCCCTTTTCTCCCCAGGAAGGTCCTCTCACTGCAAGGCAATTGCCTCTCAGTCTGCTGACTGATGAACTAAAGATAGCTTGCTTTTGTGATCTCTCACTGCTGGTATTGTTTTCAAATAATTTTTGTGGCTCTTCCCTCTCCTTCTCCAGAATCCCAGCCTCTGCTAAAACGTCCACGCCATGACTGTACAGTGCTCTCACAGCAGTCTTGCCAATGCTGTGTACTCACAGCTCTCCTGTTTATATGGCCCACGGCTGCATTACGTCCCTTCTGCCAGTGTCACCCTAAGATTTGAGACCAAGTTGCTTGTCACTGCTTTCCAGGAGACGCTCCCCTATTCTGGAGGGATGCTCTGCATAGTCCCTAGAGGTAACCTTTTGCAGGTCACGGAGCTTACAGTTGCACAGAGCTTGTAGGAGGAGGTGCTGTTTGCAGGGAAGAGTACAAAAAATGCCATACTGGATCAGATCATGGATCCAGCTAGCTGATACTCTATCTCTCACAGTGAAAAAGAGCAGATGCAGAGTATTTCTACAGGGCCTGTCCAGGCTGAGCTGTCCCCTGCCTGTCTTCTAGGGTGGCCATTTGTCTGGTTTAATAGAGGACAGCCCAGTTTTCTGCTACTCTGTCCTCTGGATATGAAACCAGCTGCCTTTATGTCCTCTATTTTCTTCTGCAGACATCCACCATTCTGACATAAAGGCGTCCAGTTTCATATCAAGAGGACAGAGTAGCAGAAAACTGGGCTGTCCTCTATAAAACCAGACAAATGGCCACCCTACTCTCTTCCCATATACCTTCTAGTTTTCAGTGGCCTAGGAAGTCTGAATTTTGGAGGGTGCAGCCTTATCATCATGTTTAAAGTACAGCAGTTGAGTAGCATTTGGTTTTCCCTGGAAAAAATAATGGTAAGGTTTTCTAGATTCCCAGCAAAGCTGGCATAAGACTTCAAGATGTGTAAAGGATGGAGGCCCTTGTGCATGAGCTCAGGAGAATCACTTCAGATATGGGAGGCTGCATGGAAGAAGCAAGACAGCTGGGAACAGAAGTAGATCTGTGGCAAGGAGAGTCAGAGTGAAGAACGGCAGGGCAGAGGTATGAAAGCATCTGCTGTGGACAGCTCAGATGTCGGAAGAGCAGGAGGGGCCCCATGGGAGACACCACTACTGTCTTAGGAGGAAGTGTTGGTGACACTCCCTGTGCCACTGAATCCCATCACCCCCAGGACATAGCAACACTGAATTCGGCAGCATGTACCTTAAGGCAGCCCTGACTCTTGCACCCTGACCCTTCACCCAAGATCTGCCCTGACAGCTGATCCCTCCCAACTGCCCCAGCCCCAGACTGCTCCCCCTCGCTCGTCTTCCTGTCCCTGGGTGCCACAACAACCCCATGCCCCTTCCTAAGTGCCACTCTGACTTCCACCACCAGCAACCCCTTACGCTTGGGGCCCAGGACTCACGCCCCTGTCACCCACTGCACCCCCGTTACACTACTGCTCAAATGACTCGCTCACTGCCTGCTGGTTAAGGTATGAAGCCAGCACCTTTCAGTTACAGGATACAAATGCCTCTGGCATGACTTGCAGAGTCCATCTGAATCCCATGCCAAAACACTCCCTGATTTAGATTGGGGAGCAGCAAGCCAACTGTTCAGCATCTATTGCATTTAAATCATGCTGTCAGGCTGTTGTGTGGACACTGCATTAGCACTACCCTGGTTGCAGAGGTGGAAAGCCCTTGCCTATCAGCACAGCATTAGCAATCAATAGTCCATAACTTTCTCCACCAAAAATTAATCTGATTTTCTTTCAATGCGCTTCCATTGGGCCCAAGACTGTCCATGTTTGGAACACAGCACACCCTATTTTGCCAAGCAGATGTACATTTCAGTCCAACTTTATGAATGTTGCCTGTGTCTTGGTGCTACAATCCCTGAACAGGCTGATGCCAGGGCCCCTTTCCAACAAGGAAAAGAACAACGAATAAAAACCAAGCTTGTTGTGCCTTCAGGGGTTTCTTCGGCAGCTCCAAACTTCTACATGGTGGGTGTATCTACACGTGTAATTAATTAGAAGCAATAAACTCCAGTGCATATTGTGCTGGAGTTTATTGTTCCTGCGTGCCGCTTTTGCACGCATGTCAGGGACTGCAGCACATTGAGCTGGGTCAGAGCAGCCCCAGCTGGCAGGGGGAACTAGGGGGCCCGCCTACCAACCCAGGGCTGCTCAAACCTGGCTCAATGTGCTGCAGAGGGCCTGGCTGGGGCAAGAGGGTGTTTCAGTGCCAGTAGACAGCTCCCACATTGAAGCACCCTCTTGCCCCAGCCAGCCGGGGCATTGCTGCACAGTAAATAACTCTGTAGTAAGACAGCACTTGTATTTACAAGAACTATCCTACTGCGGAGTTTATTAGTGGCCTAATAGAGCCACACGTGTAGACTGAGACTGAGTTGCTTGTTCTCCTGCTTGTCACTGCTTTCCAGCATGAAAGAGCTAATTAGGCAGCTCTGCAGTAAACGTCTCATGTAGACATGTCCAGTGCGTTGGGTTTAAGTGCACAGCCTCAGGACTGAAAACAAGCTACATACTTACCTGGAGTATGCACTTGCATACACTTAATGGCAGTTATTATACCTCACTTCCAAGTTGTCCTGAAGGACTAGCTCATCTTCTTCCTCATTTCAGATGCCAATTATTATCAGAGCTATATAAAGTGCAATTAAAAGTTACAGAGTCAATAGAGGAGCTGTCAGATGCACATACGCAGCTTATGCACTTAGCCCACAAACAGATAAAAGTTCCTTATTTATCGAGTAAGCAACAGACAAACAGTTAAGTCTGGTGGCAAGTTCCACTATTACATGAATTATGTACTTGTCCAATATGCATCTAAGGGGAGTACAGTGTACTACCAACAGGTTAAAATATATATGGAGAGCAGAGGGAGCAACAGGTCCATAACACTGTCACTGCTGCATGCAACACTGGTCCCTGCATTTCCTAGGCACAAGGAGTGCACTAGACTCTGGCTGCTGTTAGCCAGGCGTACCTACAGAACAGATCTGCTGCACAGGCTCCTCCACTGGCTCCAGAAACATGGTATCTCAGTAAGGAAAACTCCATGCACCTCCTGCCACAGAACTGCAGTTTGGAGAAGCAATCAAGTCCCTAAAATTAGACCTTAACGGGCAGCAATCATAATGCAGCACTGAGGTAGCAATGGCTGCTGTCAAACCAAGTCTCCCAGAGCACTAGATCTGTGAGCTTGTGTTGGCTCAGCAGTGCAAACCCACTTCCACCTTGAGCCTCAGTAATTTCCCTTCCCCGCAAGGTAACAACCGTGAGCAGCGCACATTAAAACACAAAACTCCCCTCTAATTACTGTGGTTCAACATTTTGGCACAACCTTCTGTCCTGGGACTTTAACCAGGCTCCCTCGGTTGCAATAAGTCCTACAGAACAGCTTCTATGCTTTTTTAGCCTTACACATTTTCCATTTCATGAAATATCACGGCTTGACAATGAACTTCTGCTTGCAGCCATTCTCAGGCCAACATATCAATCAACATCTGCACTTGAGAGAATTTTTTTTTAATCCCACTGTATAAAATTACTCATATTAACAGTACACTCAGGGCACAAAAACAAAGAAGAACACTAGGCTATCTCAAGCAAGCTAGGCACGTCTGTACTTATGCAACTGCCATAGGCTCAATGAGTGACTTTTGAACAGGTCATTTCATAGCTTCGTGCTTCAGCAATGACAAAATTGACCACCATAAAGGTAGCAGGAGGCTTAATTCAGTACATTGCATGATGCCTTCTGAGATTAGAAGGGGTTTTATAGACAAGCATTTGTCAAAATTATTTATTTCACTGCTGCTGTTGAGCAGGCTACATTAAATACTTTGAAACAGGTGTGTGCCAGGGATTGGATCAAAGGGCTGAGAATGAGGAAGATGCTGGGATCTAGTCTGGCTTAAGACAGGATCATGATCATGGTCAAAGTTTTGTACCTTGGCCTGTCTAGCTGCAAACCCAGAAAAAAACCCAGGACCTTATGGAAAATAAGTTGGAGGCTTTGGAGGTTGAACTTATTGGATATATTTAGTAAGGGGGAGGGAAGAAGAGAAGTTGGTGCTTTACTTAATTTAAAATACGAATTATTTTTGTTCGTTTTATTATCTGATCTGACCAAACAAACCATTGTGTAATATGCCCAAGCCCCCCCCCCCCCTTTCCTTAGCATATAGAGAAAAAGTGTCACTGAGACCTCAAGTAGTCACTTGCAACAGGAACCTCATCTGTTGAAAACACTTCAAGCCTGCCTTCTTTCTCAGAGAGGAAGTATGTGGCCTGTTTGACAAGTGCCGTTCTACATGACGGGGTGAACTTCACAACACGCTCATTCAACTGGCTGCTTCTCAACCTCATCGGTTAGATCCTGCTAGCGGCATGAACACTGCAGCATGACTTCTCCTTTTCTAAAACATACTTCAAACTGGAGTACAATGCTCTGCATTTAAAGGTAAGCATTGCTCTGTTATGTTTAGGATTCTCTAACTAGTGGGCCAGATCTCCTAATCCATATTAAGTCAAAAGATTTGTTCCCAGTAACTGCTGAAGCATGGACTTTATAAATGGAAGATACAGAAAAGGTATATTAGATCATGTGGCCTTTCGCTCCTTGCTATGGTTTTCTGCAAAACAGAAATGAATGCATACTTTATTTCTACTGAAAATTAAAAAAAAACAAACTTTAGAGGAAGACTTAAAAACCTTTATGGAGGCAAAGATTAATGTGCCTTCATTTGAAAGAAATGCCATAAATGAAATAGCAGGTTTGGGTTTTTTAATCCAATTGCCAAGGGGGTTTGTGATGAAATGTTTCTGTTTTTTTCCGGGTACCTAGATTTTGCAGTGGTTTTCATATGCTTTTATTGATCCGGCATTAAGGATCTGTCCTAACTTTTTCTAAGTGCATACTACATCCCAAGAGGTACAGGGAGATAAATTTTGCCAAGTCATCCAAACAAGGGATTTATAAGGAACTTTGGGTAAAATACTTAAAGACGCAAGTAGTAAAATGCGTTTTTTCAAATGTGTAAGTTATGGATTCCTGAATGTTATCAATAACAGTGATTATGTTTCTCAAGCTGCAAGGACTTAGGCACATATTTCCTATGGATTTTAATGAGTATTAAGTCTTGAGTATCTATTTGAAAATGAAGGTGAAAAATATACAAATACAGTAAGGCAGAAAACGTACTCAATATATTGTAAATAATGAATCCGGTACTTCCGCGGCTGAAATGTGCTAGTTGGTAAACCTGTTCCTTGCAGAACGGAAGTTGCTTATGTTTTTGCTTTTTTTTTTTTTTTTAATCTTCCTTCAATCTTCAGAATATAACTGCAAAATCTCTAACAAAGCAGTTTCATTTCAAACATACCATAGTAATTTAAATAATCCAACACTGTATCCTCTTTAAAAAGTAGGTACTGTGGAGTATAACTTTTTGCGCTGATCTTTTTGCAGCAGCAAGATATTGCCCTCCGTGGTCCTTCTGCTTTGCCTGTAGCAGGTTAGGGTATTATCTCTTATGGTTGTGTCAGGGTTGACTATGTAGTTTTTTCTAATAGGTTAGACAATGGATTTGTCTGGGATGGTTTGGATAGGTATGATCCTGCTTCATGCAGGGGGCTAGACTAGGTATCCTGTGCAAATCCCTTCCAGATCTGCTTTTCTTAGATTTTGGGTCAAAAGGGACCTCAGTATATCATTGAATCCGAAGAGTTTCCTGACGACAACTAGGATCCCACTTTCCACGAGCAGGTTTGAGTTCACATCCAGGATTGAACTCTCAACCTTTATGCCACAAGCTCAGCATGCAACCCCTAAGCCAGAGGACAAGATGAACATAATTTCTATTAATCCATGAGATGCAAATATTCAGTGAAAAACTATACCTAGAATTACTTGGGTTCTCAATTTAGGTTGCTAAGACCACAGTCCTTTGATGGCGTTAATGTGGATTGACTCCTTGGCCTACATGGAGTCCTACTGAAGGCACTAGGGCTCTGGGTGGATACAGGAGTCTCTCTGCAAAGAGCTCATTACATACGTAGAGCCTTAGATGTTTAAGTCCCGGTTTGTGGTGCAGTCAAACACCGAGAGGTCAAAGTGACTTGAATTGTGCTTGCAAATTGTCATGGTTAGAATTATTTGCTGTCTGAAACTGCATATCCCCCAAAGCA